AAAATTAAAAAAAAAAAAAATTTTATTATAAAACTCAATATTCCATATTTCAAATGTACCAAAAAAGTACCAATAACATGCGCAAAATACAAAGTCAAATTCAGTATGAATTTCGAAAAAATTCTATAAGGAGAGTTGTTAAAAAAAAAATAGTGTTCAACCAGTTCAAGTGCCATTAAACAAGAAAAAGTATGTACAAAAAATGCAAAGAAAGCAGTTTAAAACTTGATTGCATTTCTTTAACTTATGCCTACATCTCTCCCATCTCTTTCTCTTTTTGTGTCTCATTTCAGTGACAAAGCGCGCATTTTAAATACAAGCAAACAAATGAGCTTGTTTGAAGCAGAAACAGCTAAACAAATAATTTTTTTTGAGGTCGAATTATACGCACAAACACACACACACATACAAGCCACAGAATTTTTGCGAATATTAAAATTTTATGATTAAAATTGTACGAATATTTCAGAAGTAAAACGACAAGTTTTGAGCTTTCATTTAAATTCAAAAAAAAATTATTTTTCATTATTGATTTTAGATTTGAAATAAGTGCATGCAATTTAAGCAGCAAATATACAAGTGCAAAATTATAAAACGCAAGCATGTATTTCGTGCACAAATTAGTACGCAAAAAGTAATGAAACTAGAAAACAAACAGTGAAATATTATTTACCAAAAAATAAAAATTCTTAAAAAAAGCAAATTTTACACACAATAAAATTTTCCAAACAAAAAAAAAAAAACAAGTGTTTAAAAATTAGTTCAACAAGTCTGCTGTGCAGCGCAAACTAGGCTAAAGTGAATAACGTGTCTACCAAATACACCCACACACACATACACAACCCAATCAAACAACTTCACCAACTTGACTGGCCGAACAACAATGATGAAGCGACGTTGGTCGAATAACGGCGGTTTCGCCTTTCGCATGCTAGAAGAATCCTCCACCGAAGTGAGCTCATCCTCCAACGGGCTCGTGCTCAGCACGGCATTATCGCCCTCACCGCTCGACTCACCCGTTTATGGTGAACAAGATCTGTGGTATGATGCCGCATTCAATGGACATGGTGGTCATAGCGTGATCACCTCGGCACATGGTTGCGCTGCGCTGCTGCCGCCACAAACTACAATAATACCGTTGCCACCATTGGGTGGTGTCATAAATAATATGAATGTCAACGGCGCTGGCAACAACACAAATGGCACGAATTTTGTTCATGGTAATGGTGGCGTTGGTGGCGGCGGCGGCGGTGTAATGGGCCATGGCAATCAACTGAACAACGGGCATCTGGGCAATCAACAAAATGCACAGAATAATAATAATAATAATAATTTGAATATGAATAACAACAACAATACAAATATGTTGCATGCAACACTAAATCAGGGTCTAATTAATGGTTTGATGGGTAGTGTGTTGGGTGGCAATGCCGGCATGCAACACAATGGACTCAACATGCAACAGCATACGCCACGTAGCGATTCGGCGAATTCAATATCGTCAGGTAAGTGACGAAAAGGTTGTGGTGTACGCTAAAACGTATGTATTTTCGGACAAAAAACTGAAATTTTAATTATTGAAATTCTAACCTCAAAAATGTTTGGCAAAGTCGATATAAAAAAAAGAAAAAAAAAAACATTACTGAAGCTATAATATGCTACACAGCTGAATTATTTATAGCTTAAAAGGGCATAAAAATATCTCTAGATTAATTTTGATAGGTTAGTTTGTATGGCAGCTATATGCTGTAGTGCTCCGATTTGAATGATTATCGGGGAAATTCTAGAACTTCCTTGGAAAATAAGCTGTGCCAAATTTCGTTAAGATATCTTGTCTAATGAAAAAGTTTTCCATACAAGAACTTGATTTTGATGGGTTAGTTTGTATGGCAGCTACATGTTATATTAGTCCGATCGAAATGATTTCTGAGATAATTGTAACGTTGCCTTTGAGAATGGTCTTTGCCAAATTTCGTTAAGATATGTCGTAAAATAAACCAGTTCTCCATATTATAGCCTGATTTGGATTGGTCAGTTTGTATGGCAGCTATATCTTATAATGCTTCGATCAGGAAAATTTATTCGGGAAATTATAACGTTACTTAGGACAGTTATCTGTGATAAATTTCGTGTTGATATCTTGTAAAATAAAATAGTTTTCCATGCAAGTACTTGATTCTGATCTGTAAGTTTGTATGGCCGCTAAAAGATGTAATGATTCGATCTGAACAGTTTCTTCGTATGTTATACAAATGTCTCAGATAATAAGTTATGCCAAATTTTCTTGAAGATATCTCGTCAAATAAAAAAGTTTCCCATACAAGAACTGAATTTTGACCGAACAGTTTATATGACAGCTGTATGCTATAGTGGTCTGATCTAAACAATTAATTCGCAGATGGTAGCTTTGTCTTTAATATTAATCTCAGTCGAATTTTGTGATTATATCTTATCAACTAAAAAAGTTGTCCATACAAGGAATTGCTTTTGACCAATCGGTTCATATGGCAGCTATGTTTTATATTGATCCGATGTCAGCGTTTCTGACTAATGAGAAGATTCTTGCATAGAAAAGTACGTGTGAAAAATTGCAGCTCGATGTCTTTATAAAAAAAAACATTTTTGCATAACGTCTAACCAAAAAACTTTTCGAAAACAAAATTTACATTTTTTGTAACAAAACCTGGTTGCTTCTAAATAAATATAAATTTGTAATGCAGTATGAATCTCTAACGATTTAACGCAATATGTGCTGCTGCGTTTGTCACGCACAAAAAGCAACTCTGCTGTGCGGCCATAATGTACATGCAGCACACCCGCTGTGCTGCAGGATTAGCGTTGATTTTGAGGTCGAGGCTACATATGTATGTACTTCTCTGCTTGGCATGTATTCGGTGTTTAGATTTGTAGATTTGACAGCGTCTTCGCTGCGTCAGTGACCCGGCAGTATAAAGCAACAGCTGCACTTAGTGGCATATACTTATATATATTTATGTAAATATAATATTTATGTACATATGTGTATATAAAATAATCAGAGCGCATTTCATGTAGTACATGTTCGTAGTACGCATATAAGCGAATTATGCTTACAGTTCATCTGCGCATTTCAGCTGCAGTGCAACCAGGCTACACTCACTATAAAGACATACATACATACATACAAATATGTATATTATATATACCGCCATGCAGTCATATGCCCTTGACCGCCTGTGCTCTAGTGCGCTACTTTCGTTAAGGACGAGGTGAAAAGACTCTAAGTGCACATATGGAAAGTTTTTACAGTTACTATTTATATAAACGATGCATATACATACATACTTACATATATGTATGTATATACATGCATATAGTGACATATTTATTTATCAGCATTGATATGTAAATAAGAAGTGTGCCACTTCTGGCTGCTATTAGTTTTTGTTTGACGTTCACAAACTGGGGCAAGGTCAGGAGCAGCACCAACCACAAATTGCGCTCAACAGCGCGGCGCTGCCATTTTGTTGTAGAAAATTTCAGGGTCACTTGCAAATTGCTGCAGTTTTTGTGTTTTTGGCTTTAGGCTTTTGTGATGCGGCTTTTTTCGGCATTTCACCCTCATTGCTGGGCGCAACACTATTACAAATACACATACATACATGTGTGCATGTATTGCAAGTCAGCTCTACTATGGTAATTACTAATTCTTTTGGCCATTTACAAATTTTGTGAATTGGAGCATGAAAAGTGTCGACCAAATTTAAGCGCAAAAAGAATTAAATTACCCACATTTCACATCAATTTCACACAGCTAAATGGCATACATGCAAATCGAGAAATTATGCAAATTTGCCGCAAGCTTTTTTGTCTGCTTCTATCTATCTGCCTACAAATAGCTCTAATGCGCTTACAGTGCGCGCAAAATAAGCAAGTGTCCAAAGCGAGTTTTGCATTTTATGGGTTTAAGCTACGATATCACCACTTAGTGTGTGTTATTTTATGTGAGCTATGGTGAATTCTGCTAGTTATGGTTAGATGTGTATATGACGAACATAAATGCCTCAGTATCGGGAAAATTAAGGGAATTTTTTTTTTTTTTGGACGGGCATTGTTTAATATTTAAAAAAAAAAAGATTTACAGAATTTAATGTACTTTAACAACAAAAAATCATTTTGAGAAATTTTGGATTTCCTTTATCCCGTGATCCCTCTGTAGCTATATGTATGTAAATAGTATATTATATAGTTTTAGTTAGCCTTTTTTACCATTATTCCAAATTTTGTTTTGAAAAATTATTTATTTTTGGTTAATAAAATTTTAGATAAATAAATTTTGTTCATTTTTAGTGATGATTTTAAAATCAAAAACTATTTTTTCAATTAATTAATAATTTTTTAATTAATTATTATTTTTAATTATTGTATACATACATATAATTTTTTAAATTAAAATAACCAAATCATTAAATATATTTCAATTTAATTTATTTTTTTTTAATTAAATTGAAATTCAATTGAAAAAATAGTTTTTGACTTTAATATTTTCTTAATTAAATTAAATTAAAGCAAATTAATTAACATATTTAACTAAATTAAACTAAACTTAACAATTTTTTTTTTTTGTAATTAGAAAAATCAGAACCCTGTGTATAAATATGTTATATTATTTACTTCATCTGGATTATATGTCTTTACTACTACAATATACAAAAAAAAAAAAGTAATTAAAATTTAAAAAAATAATAACACTAATTAAATAAACTTAATTATAACAAATTAATGCGTTAATTTTTATTACTTCATATTATATTTAATTCCAATTTTTTTTATTTAATTTTAAATTCTTTTCTGTAATTAAAAATAAAACTTATTAAAAAATAAATATAAATAATAATAATAAAATAATAATGATTTTTAACACGACTTTTGGGATTAAAAACTAATTTTAAATTTTTTTTATACGGTGGTTTTATTTAGAAATTGGAATATTATATTTTATTAAAATTTTTGAGATTACAAAAAATATTTTAAATTTAATATACAATAAAAAATAATAATTCATTAAAATTAAAACAAACAAATTAAAACAAAAAAAAAATTAATTATAATTAATTAATGCATTTAAAATAAGTTTTTAATTCATTAATGAATTTAATACGGGCTAAATAATTTTAATTAATAAATACAATATTTGAATTTTAATTTATAATTTTATTTTAATTTTTTACTTAATTTTTAATTTTTGCTGTGATTATAAATAAAACTATTTAAAAAAATTGCAATATTAAAAAAATTAATGCTAATTAATTAAAATTAAAATAACATAACAAATCTAAATTTCAATTATTTACAACCCTGAAAATACATGACCCCACACTTTTGCAACAAAAGCAATATGCAGTTGTCAAAATCAACACCGCTACAACAAAATTCACCTTCAAAAGGTCAAGATCACATTCAGATGCTCGTCCTCACAAATTCAGGTCACCAGCAACATCAGCTGCCCTCAAAATTTAGGCCACAATACATGTATTTACATATGCATGTATGTATGTGTGTAAATCAAAAACCAAAAACCAAAACACCGAGAAAGCAATGCCACATGCAATAAGGGCTGTCTCTTATACACATCTAGATGTGTATAAGAGACAGACCAAAACACCGAGAAAGCAATGCCACATGCAATAAGGGTGTAGAAAAGGAGCAAAATTTTCGTACATTGCGCCAGTAACCCAATTCCAGTTCAATGTTAATGCAACGAACCCGCACATGCACGAGCGCACGAATTCAGCTAACGATTGCACTATGTATGAATGAATGAGGATTTTCGCAACGGCGAAGGAACAGCAACAGCGCACCTAACAAACGAACGTAGCTCGGCTGACTGCAATAAAGCGCAACGAAGTGCAAGCGAACTTGCAGTTTGGGCGTAAACAATGTTGTTTGTGTTGCCTTTTTCGACTGTTTTCGAGTTTTCTCCGCTTATATGCATATAAGCATGCAGCGATGTGTGTGTATGTATGTGTGCGTGCGTACGACGACGAATTGGCAATGATCGTTCCAGTGTACGCACGGCTGCGTGACCACTGGCATAGCGTTGCTTGCAACCCTACACATAACGGTGCATGCAGTGATGCAATTTGTGTGTGCCAATAAAGCGCAAATGTCATTGTCACCTTAGGACCGAACGGCGTCGTAAATGGCAGTCGGTCAACGGCAGTGGCAGGGTCTCCAGCTGTGTTGCTGTATGCGTTTGCGCAAGCATGAAGGACAACGTGTAATTCGCTGCTTGGTCGCAAGTGTGCAAAAATTAATTTCTCTTCTTTTCGCTCTTGTTTTTCACTTTACATTTTTGCATAATGTTCGGTAGCTCATGTTTTTTTATTGCCTCGTCGTTGTAATATTCGTATGTGTGTGGCACAGTGTCGTTGGTTGCTTTGTTGTTGCGCACACTTCTTCGTTGGCAACGCATATTTGCATATTTGCTTGTTGCACACGTTGAATATTGATGTTGTTGTTGTTT